ATACACATCTAGATGTGTATAAGAGACAGGGGGAGAGAGAGGGGGGGAAAGGGGGGGGGGGGAATGCAGAAATGTCAAATCGAACGAAACTTTGGTCAATTATTAGGGATGAAAATTCACAGTGACCTCACCTGAATCTTGTTTCTTGCAAATAAATCTTCCACCAGTGACCTGTCGTGCTCGCTCAACCCGGCATGATGAAGCCCGATCCCAAACTGAATTGTATGCTTCAAGTTGGTATCAGAAATCTGTGCCACAGTGTCTTCGATTTCACGCTCTTCCATATTGATGAACTGCCGCGGCCGTTCGTCTGCAACAGCAAACTGTTGCAGCAAAGAAAAGGGCATCACAATCACACAATGCCATTTGGATGGATGGATGAATGGGTTAGAGATAAGGATAGCACGAACTACAGAGGAAGTGGGGAGGTGGTCTCCCTGGGTGGGCATAAGCGAGGCTGAGTGGACTTTACCGCTACCAGTGAAGTGGATCAATTCAGTACCAACTTAGCGCACAAGGAACCAGGGCAACAAACTTGAGAACAAAGGAGAAAAACAGAAAATGGAAGTAGGGAGAAAAGACATGATAGAAGATCGTGAACACATGAGAGAGAGAGAGAGAGAGAGAGAGAGAGAGAGAGAGAGAGAGAGAGAGAGAGAGAGAGAGAGAGATTCTAAGAGTACCTGGATGAGGTCCAATGCAGTGAGCCTGGTCTGACGCCGAGAGGAAACAAAGACCAGCACTGGCTTCACAGGCGAATGAGTTGTGATCGCCATGTAAGTTGGCTTGTTCATGGCCATCATGCGAGGGCAGTAGAATTTCCCTGGGTATCCCTGAAGGCAAACAATCAACAGGACAAAAGCCTTAGACACTTTGCAAGGAAGGGAAAGCACTTCAAAGCAGTTGTCGAGCCTATGTAACATGTTTCCTTGTTCCGTATTGCATTTCTTATCATGCAACAGCTGCCTATCAGCTGGCATAGCACCCTTTATCTCTCCATGCAGGTTTGAATTGCAGAGAAGAACAACTACATTCTTGAATCTTGATCATCTGCTCCTATGTCCTTCGCTCGAGTACAGGTGGCACAACAAGTGTTGCAGCAAACGAAGTCACAGAGTGAGTGATTGCTGCAAAGTGCACTCACCTGTTCTGTTCATAGCATAGCACTAGCATCGCATAGCATTGCATAGCATAGCATAGCATGACATAGCATATCATAGCATAGCATAGCACTAGCATAGCATAGCAGTTACCCGTCCTTTTCATAGCAAAGCATGTGGGCAACGTTGTGTCCGGCACACTAACATGACCATAACTCGGGAGAGAGAAAAGTCGACCATTATTCCAAAACAAAACAAAGCACATACAAACACTGTCGACAATCCGATCAGTCCATGCATCCCCAGACTTTCAAATCTTCGCTTCGCATCAATTTGGCTAGTATGCCGATGAGAAGGCATGAGGGAACCCATTATGAGAACAAACAGCTAAAACCCAGATAAAGTCAAACAGCCGACCAACCTCTTCCCATTGATCAGTTTATCCATCCCAACTAATTGAAGTTTGGGACATGCGCCGGTGGGACGAAAAAATGGAACTACCAAGGGATGAATGGCGGGGACTTGAGTGTCCCAATGGAAACAGTGGACTACCCATGGAGGATGAACATGCGAAGCAGGCAGCGCCGGCAATCTGTTATGCAGTGAACAAAAGTATGCAAACATTGTGCAGGCATACAGAAGTCATACAAACAAAGCTATCCTTGTCACTCATTACTGAGTATCCTCAAAATCTAGACATTCTCGACACACTTGCAAGAGCGGCGCTCTACCAGCTGAGCTATACCCCCATCATCCAAACACTCAATGTAATTTCACTCATCTAAGAATCAATAGATCAA